AAGTGATCTTCACTGGTAGCCCACTTTGCTAGAACCATCTTTGGGCAAGCACGGTTTCATGTAGAGAGCTACGGCTAACATGATGATTAGGTTAGTTCACCTCTCTCAAGTGTTAAGAAGTAAGAAGGTTAGGAGGACTATCGTCACTCCGATTTTTTGAAATTGAAGTAGTGGGAAGAAGCAGAGGCGCTGAGTACCGGAGTCTAATTGGAGAAACAGAGCGACAGAAGCCGGCCTTACCTGCTGCAGAAGACCTTCGGTTGAACTCGTTTCTTATTTTAAAAAAATGTAATAGAATATAGTTATATGAAGAGAGTGGCTCAGGGAATGGGACCGTGACAAGGTAATATTCTTCCCTAACATCAAATAGTCTCAAGCAAGATGGTTAGGTTATGGAGAAGATCTGGTAGAAGCTACCCTTACCTATTAGCCTCCTCTCCATCCTCGTTGCAGAGATCGCAAACAAATTCGATATTTAAGCGACACAACAGATTCATGTTAGCCACTGCATCCTGTGATCCGACGAAGACAGTGTCGTCAATCTGATAAACAGTCACAACGAAACAATCATATTGAGAGCCATACGTACTTGAGGCAGACAAGCTGCTCACCTGCCAAACAAGTTCTCCAACGTAAAGAAGTCGTGTGGCAAGAGGTAGACTCGGGGCGGTTTGTTGTCTTCCCAAGGGCCTTGGAGAGGTAGGTAGTGAAACAATCATATTGAGAGCCAAACGTACTTGAGATAGACAAGCTGCTCACCTGCCAAACAAGTTCTCCAACGTAAAGAAGTCGTGTGGCAAGAGGTAGACTCGGGGCGGTTTGTTGTCTTCCCAAGGGCCTTGGAGAGGTAGGTACAGGTTCTTCGGCTTGATCCTCCAAGACACTTGCTCTGCCAGAATCTCTCGAATCGCCGGTTCCCGATGCTCGACCCTAGTGAAATATTTCAATATTTAGAGCATAATGGTCACATGCCATCAGATCTTTCACCTATCATTCGTATTTCCACTTATTTTTTACTACTCACATCAACACATTTACCGCTATTTGTTCCTAATTTGTTTAGTGATGTCATAGTACAGGCCCTCAGCTCTAACTAGTCATTCACGATATAAGAAGTTTTATTTGTAGCTGAGGCTACTCTATAATCAGAAAAAATTCACATTCTTAGCCAACTAATATTACAAGGTGGCTTAACAGCATGCGCTTCTGACGATGAGCCGAGTCGACGTCTAGCTGCAAAAAGCCTAAGAAGGATTCGAAGTGATGTCATAGCTGTTTTTAAGCTGATGAAATCGCGTCCACGTACTGCTTCACCGGGAAATGGCCTCAGAACTCCTCATCAGGAAGACTGGGACTCGACTTTTCCAGCTTGTGATATCGTCACACCAATGAATCTGCTTTTTCACCGTCGAGAAAATTTGCGAGTGGAAGTGCGACAGGCTAAGAAGCAAAGCAAAGGTGGACAAAGAGTAGCCACATCACTGCCTGAGAGAAAAACGCTCTCGAACCTTCTTTACAATCGTTGCCGTCGCTTGGGACACCCATGATAAAAAATTGTACAATCACCAATCATCTGGGCTACATCTCCCAATCCATGCATGATCCCTATCAATGGTGATTGAACATATGATGTTACCACGACGAACAAATTCTAAGGGA